CTACAAGGAGAAGATATTGATGAAGCAAAGCATGTTTTTACAGCATTTTTGTGCAGCTTGAGCTTTAGCGCGGTTTCTAAGTATTTGTCACAGCAAATCTAGAGTTGATTGCTTAGATGTAAGTGTGGTATAGCAGCACTTACTCCATTTTTCAGTCTTTTCCCCTGGCATGCAACTCCAGCCATTGGCAGTTTGGTTCATTATTCCTCACACTTTCTCCTAATATATTCCACTATAACTAATATATGCAACAGACAGTTGTGGAAGAAGCAGGTTTTCGGTCACTGAGAATTTTTGGTTTGTGTATCTTAGGGTCTCAGTTACCCTACAGATACCCAAATACCATGTGGTATTTCAGATATGAACTAATTTTTCCCTTTTACCCCAGATTTCTCTTCAGGGATAACATTGCAGCGCATGTTGCTGTTGAAAATCTGTTACCACACTGAAGTGGGAACCTCTGCATTTTTTACTATGAATATTTTCTCTATATATGTTAGCCTTTCAGTATCATAATTACACACAAATACTATGTAAATTAGTGGCCATGTAAACGTAATGATTATCTAAATCATATAATTGATGCCTGGTAGTACCCTGTTGAAATAGCTGCAGTGGGGTTCTAGATATGATCTGGGCTGATGTCATGGAAAGAACAGAAACTGCAGTATTAATTTGAGGTATCTTGCATATTATTGCCTATGATACTACTAATCACACAGATTACGTACATTTTCCACTTAGGTTTCTTCCTAACCCACTCTCCCAGATGTACCAATGTTTTTCTCTTAGACCAGTTTCTGAACACTTCTACTGTAGAGAGTGCTTAGAAGAAGTAAGGGAGCATAATCTCTTTAATTATTTGCTAGTTTAGTGCAAGGGAAAAAAGAAGGAGATAAAGCTTCTGATTAAACAAAATTATACAGAAAAAAATAGCTATAAAAGTTTTAAAGAATACACTTACAGTGAATTTTTATGGGAAAAAAAGAAAACAAAGGAACTCATGAAAACCGCTATTTTGCAAAATTATTTTTGCTGGGACAAACCATATTTCATCATTTTCTCTGGAAACAGTCAGTAGCTTGGGCTTAAGAGAAGGAGGTTTACAAACCTTTATCTAATGGGATGTATATTCTCCATGCTAATAGTTGCAGCTGTTTGCATAATTGCTCAAGTCAATCTTCAGTGCTGTGTGTGATAATTCCAACCTGTTCTCATATTCTCAGTGTTAGTAGCCATGTAGGAAGCTTGTGTTGTTCACCTTTGACCTGCTTACTTGCAGGCTGACTAGGATGAAGGCAATACTGAAGTTTTTTTAGAATGAATGGAAGATGATGATGAGGATGGTATATTGCAGAAAATTGGTTTGGAGTAAAATTTTAAGCAATCATATAGTTGCAGGGTATCAATAATGCTGCATTTGAGAAAAAGGAAACTCAGTAGATTACAGTCTTCTATTTATTCTTCATGCTGGATTTGATACAGCAATGACAACTTAAAAAAAAAAAAAAAAGTGAAGTTTCATTTGTTGTGTACAGATTCCTAGGCAAGTAGTGGTAAAGCTTGGGGTGCAGAGTCCCTTTCACCTCCTCCTCACTGTTGTGGGTATATTTGACCTTCTGTGCCTTACAACAAATGAGCTAGAGTTAAAGAATATAACACGGAGAAGGTATTGCATTGCCTATTTCAAAGTTGTTCATTTAATAGGCTTCTTAATTTAACTTAAAAGAAAATAAGTATATGTTTATGTGTGTCTCTGAATATGAAGTTTTCTTGAAAGAGTTCTGAGAATTGACAAGATATCATTGAGGTCTTCTAACAAACTTAAAAATTCCAACTGTTTGAAACTAACAGCATAAAGATGTTAAAGAGATTAGGGTAAGAGCTCTGAAGCAGGAAACAAAAGCTGTTTACGTATACTCAGGTCAATATGCACATACAAAATAGCAAGTTATATTCGCCTTGAAACATAACCTTTCTATAAAATTTTCTTGAACTCATCTGGAAATATAAATTATCTGGTACTAGCAGTTTAGAGTGAGTGTTGCAGTTCATCACTAGCACATAAACTCTTGAATTTGTATGGAAACACTTCTGACAGGACTGCTCCATTTACTCTCTATTGAAGAATTTAATTGACAGGTTTTAGCAGGTGTTTTATATTTTCAAAATTTTTGGATGACTATAGAGTTAATATTCAATATTGACACTTCCAATTTAATGAGCACTAGAACCATTCTTTGAAGGAAGTAACCTCAAGAAAATGGGGATTGACTTAATGAGGGTAGTATTTTTATAACTTGGTCAACTACAACTAATTTGGTAATGTTTATTTCCTTAACAGAGAGAGCAATTTGTGTAAAGCTTGTCTTATGGTCATGTTCTACTAAAATAACAATGTTAGCAGTGTACTGCCAACAGTGTCTAGTTACTTCTTTGAAAACTGAGACTTTCAAAGTGCACATGTACATTGTTTCAAACTTCATCACTGCTACTAATCCATATTTATATAACTGAATTTTTAAAAGATCAAAGGTTAAGAGGTGCTTAGCATTTGGAAAGCAAAATGCCTTAGCTACCTCTAATATTATAATCAGTTGTCTTAATTTGAGACACTAAAGCTTGAAAATATGACTAATATTCTAAACAACTGTTCATAGACAGCCCCATTGTTATGGAGTCTATTTGGATTACTCATTACTTTCTGAAGTTATACTTGAAAAATCTGAATATACAAAATGTTAAGAATTTACACAGCTTACACTGTATAGCTTTCCAAAATACAGTATTCGATATTAAGTTTAATACTGATGAAGTAGTAATGACATGCAAGGTAGGTAGACTTTGTATTTGGTATGCCTGTGATGGTTTTTTTCAGGATCTTGGTGAAATTACGTTTATATACTTGTTTCAAACTGCATACACTTTTAAGATTTAAGCATTGATGCTATTGGCTGATCAGAAAGAAGCTGTCAAAAGACATGAAATCATATTAGAACCATAGGGCCTATGTTATATGTACACACTTTGCATATGGCGCACAGCTTTTTAAGCAAGGTAGTGTTGGTACATAAGGTTCTGCTAAAAATTGGACAGAGAGAGCAAGATTTGTAATGTGAAGCCCTATCTTATGTTTATAAGTAGTAGGTATGCATAAATGTGTGACTACTGAAAAAATCCTGTGATGCAAGAATCCTTTGTTATATTGTGCAGTCTGCCCTTAATAGAGGTTTTTTCAAGATCAGCAATAATTCAGTGAATTTAGTTGGTTGAATATTAAGTCTTTGGTTTGATTTTTTTTCCTGTTTTTACATTTTATGCAACACCAAACTTTTGACAATTCCAGATTATTGGTTCATGCATTAAGCTTTTTGAAAACAATTTTCAAAGCCAGTATTGAAATCAGTGAGAGTTTTTCTTGTGCCCTAACTACTGTTTTCTAAAAAACTTTTAGCAGCCTGTAATAAATGCAGATGGTTTGTAGATACTGAAGAATATAAATCCATTTCCTAAGAAAACGTATCTCTCCACATGTTATCAGAGACTTGGACAGCTTTATCTCCTAAGAATATATAGGCTTTACAGTCTTCAGAACATTTCTTTCTGAGAAGGTAGGACCGTTTCTTTAGTTGATAATTACAGAATGAAAATTATATTCTGAGGAACTAGTATTAGTCAGGACTAAGTAATCAGTTGGTGTTGATCAGTATTGCCCTGCTGACTTTTTAATATTTTTATTTATTTTTATTATTTTTTGTTATTTTTATATGACATTGGAGATCTGGCCATTAGAAGATGCTGAGGGATAACCTTATGTAAAAAGTTTACTGTACCAGAAAAGAATTGCAGAACTAATTGAATGCTATTTGTATTAGGAATATAGTAACATGCAAATGTTTTGAAGGACCTAGTTCCAACATTGCATCTTAGCTTCCTTCACCTCAAAAGAACAGTTTGTTAAATCATGAAAATATTGTTCTGTCAAGATACTTATTTGATACTGAAATTACGATTAATTTCTGAATTGCATCTTATCACCCGCATCCAATGCTGCCCATGGATAATGCTACCTCAGTGTGATTACATGTATATGTATTTATGTAACTGAGGAAAAAAATATGCTGAACAAAGGCTTGATGAGATCTTTTTCTTAAGCCTCAAAAAAACAAAGCTACTGCAAAATTAAACAAGGTTTGAAAATGAGACATCAGGGAAAAATTGAAAGATTAATACTTTTTTGCCAAAAATTTATTTTCTAAATTAAATAAAAATACTTAATTTCTGATTAAAATACTAAAACATCTGATCAGCTGCAGTGATAGTAACCAAAAACCAAAATACTGAGAACTCATTTAACATGGGGTAAGTTCATTTGAAGATCATATTTGAACACTGTATTGTAAAAAAAAAAAAAAAAAATGCAATGACTGACCTGTATAAATTATACCTTAATTGGCTGGCATGGCTTCCTTTAAGAGTGTGAGCTGTTGGTAACATGATGACAAACACACATGAATGAAAGTTAATAGGTGTTAGAAAGCATACTCTTATCCATAAGTGCTACTCCAGCTGTCAAGGCATTTTAAAGCATGATGAGAGAGTCCAGCACAGAGCCACCAGGATGATTAAGGGAGTGGAGCATCTCCCTTCTGAGGAAAGGCTGAGGGAGCTGATTCTCTTTATCTTGGAGAAGAGGAGACTGAGGGGTGACCTTATTAATGTCAGGAGGATTCTGTGATTCTGTGTTTTCAAATGTATGAAGAACTTTCTTTTTCTTGCAGCATTAGGTACATTTAATGTTTTGAAGAAATTTGTCTAATGAGTGTCCAAGTTGGGTAAAATGCTACCTGTTATCACACTTCTTATCACTGATATTTTTTTCTCACATAAAATTGAAATGGGCTTGCATGTTCATTTTCAGCTGTCCCTTCATGCACACAGTTTTGTGAGTTAATGTTTCATATTTATTTTCGTTTTTCCATTAATTTCTTCCTCTTCAGGTGCAATCTAGCTCCTGTGGAGGAGTTTGCTGCCGATGTGGGAACTAAATCTGATTTTATTACCATGAACCCATCAGTTGTACAAAGAGCATTTGGAGGCTTTCGGAATGAGAGTGACAGAGCAAAATTTGTGCATAGACTATCCATGCTGAATGACAGTGTCCTTTGGATCCCTGCTTTCATGGTCAAAGGCGGAGAGAAGCATGTGGAGTGGGTTAATGCATTAATCCTTAAGAATAAATTGAAAGTGCAAACTGCCTATCCATCACTGAGACTTATTCATGCTGTCAGAGGGTAAGTGTCTAGAAAAGACTGGACTGTCCTTGGCACAATGAAGCTCGTAGCTACAATTCCTAGCAGGCAGAAAAAGCTCAAGTAAAATGTTAAAAGGAGGATGATGTTTCCATTATTGTTGAAATGGATTGCATTTATGAAAAAATAGGTTTGTTTGGTACTGTACATTGTCCACTCAACCTACAAACAGCTGAAATGCATTAGCACTTTTATGTACAAAAATTTTTTATTGTCATTATAGTGATAAATTAATGAAAAATAGTCTGAATTCAAAAGACTTCCATCAGTCATCAGATAAGAGGACAATGAAAGTGCTACATGTCTTCTTTTGGGCAAGACTATGGAGATAAAAACTATAATTTAAGTAGCATGGGGGTAGGTTCACAACCATGTTAATAATGCAGTCTTGGCAGATCTGAAAATAATGAGCTCCTTCCTAAAATATCTAGGATTTTGTAGCAGTCTTTCTCCTTTTGAATTTGGCCAGATGCTTGGCCAATGGAAAAATATTGATCAGAATCACTGAAAATGTTAACATAACCAGTTGTTAAAAAAAAAAAAAAAAAGCATCTATGCTTTGTGCAGAGACTTTTTTTTTCAACCCCATAATTAAACAAGACTGCCAGATGAAGGCTCTGTTGTCTTTGTCACTACAGGTACATAGGGCTATGCGTGAAGAACATTCAGAAGATTACAGTAGTGCAGTATCTGTTTCTGTAGTGAATTACAACACTATGATAATATTCAGCTTGAGTTCCTTGAACTATGCTGTTTGTGGGATTTTGAGTATTGGCTTGTACACCACTTAACTGATTATGTGTCTGCCTAAAAAGTTGCTTCTAACACAGCAGCAGAGATAAGATCAGAGGGGATGTTCGAACTGTTACCCCGATCTAGTATAAGAGTGTAAGAATGAAGCTTAGAAATATGTTTTTCTTCAGGATACTAGAACTTTTGAGTATGCTCTTCTCCTTCTGCCATGTCTCAAATAGATTAACTGTCATGTTCTTCATGTGATACACTTCTGGCACTGGAAAAAAAACTAATCTGTTCCCTTTGGAATTTGGAAATATTTTGGAAATCTTGTAATTTTTTACTGAGTTTCTCAGTTTCCATAGTTGTCTGGATAGTTGTTTTATTACACAGATACACTTTAGCTTGATTATGTTGAATCTTCAAGTATTCAAAATGCCTGTAAGAGATGAATAGGGTTTTGTGTGTCTATATAAACCTGAATAAATAAGGTAACTTCCAGTTTGCAAACAGCTGTTCTCATCTCTATATGCTGAATCTGGGCAAAATTATCAAATGTAAATGGTAATTCAGAATGTGCAGCCTTTCAGTTGGCCAACTTGAAGGTCCTTTATGTGACTTTGTCTTAAAAAATAAGAATTAGCACCTACATTGTCTCTCTGAAAGAAAAGCGACAAAAGCTCTACCCTCAGAATTGGTGTTGAGAATTCAGACTATGCTGTATTTGACATTATACCTAGCAGTGTCATCTGATATGACTGCACAGATTTGTCAGGCTGTTGAATCTGTGCTTTAAACCTTAGGGCCTCCACTTTAAACCTTGTTGTTTAATCACCTCACTTTCCTTTTTTTGTTCTCATGGGAAGTAACTGAATATCATAATATATTCTTCACTGTTATTTTTTGTAATTTGAATAAGAACAAAACAAGAAGTCAAATTTATCTTTGGTCTAATTCTTGACTTCACAAAGTGAGGTGCATGAGGTGATTATGTCATTATGAATCAAGTTTGGAAATGATACAGTTAACAGTAATACATTTGGAAGAAACACTCTAGATTTCTTGGAAGGCAGTCTTAAAACATCAGCCCATAATAATGAGGTGTGTATTACAGTAAAGTT